CGGGGGCTGTGTGCATGGGTGTTGGGCCGAGGCCAGCCTCGCCCGGGGGGGGGGGACCGGCCGGGGTGGGGGAGCACCGTGTGGCCAGGCCCTGAGGCTGGGTAAGCCTTGGCTGGTCCGCCCCCCCCCCCCCCCGCGGCCGCTGGCGCCCTGGGATTGGGGCAGCGTGTGGCTGGTGCGGGAGCGCGTGCGGAAATGGTCCCGACCCGCCGGGGCAGAGGCGCCCGGGCCGAGGGCAGATGCGCCTGGGCCAACCGCCAGTCGGGCGTGTGGGAGGGGGGATCCGCCCACACACACGCACACACACGCATGCACGCACACACACACACACACACACACACACACACACACACACACACACACACATACACCGGGGGCGGCGCGCGCCGGCGATGTGTGGCCCTTTGGGGGGGGGGGACCGGATAACAACCCTCAGATGATAACTTGCCCCCTCCGCGCGGCGTGTTCCGGGGACTGGGGGGCTGCGAAAAAAAAAATGCCGCTCGCACCCAGGCAGCTCCCGTTCAAATATCCGGGAGATGACTGAGCGGGCGCACTTCCTTGCCGGACGGACGGAGGAGAGACGCGGGGGGGGGGACGAGCGGGAGACACCGGCGTCCGGCAGGCCGGGGCCCCACCTGACCTGGGACAGGCGCAGTGTGCCCGCCCCCGGCCCCCCGGCCCCGCCGCCTCCCTCACTCCCCTGGAGTGAGGGCCGGACCATACAGGGGGCGCGCGCCATGCCAGATCGCTGACGCTGATGCCACCAGCCGGCGCCGGCCCGGGCGGGGGAGCGGACACCGCGGAAACACCGGCCGTCGAGGCAGTGCAACAGCAAGGCATGACCACGCCCATGGCAACACCCACACACCCACATACGGGCGCCGCACCGCGCCCGAGCGGCCGCCTGCCGTTTCCTTGCTGCCCCCGCGCCCCGGGGCCGAGCCGAACAGGCAGCGGGGCCGGGGCTCCCGGAGGAAACATTAGGGTACACACACCTCCCTCCGGGTGCGTCGGGCACTCGGGCACACAACGGTCCTGCTGGGCCAGGGGGCGGGCGGGGGGGGGGGGGAGGCGCTTGTTGTTGTTTTTTTCGTGCGGCCTAGGGTTGTCGTGCGGCCTCCCGGCTGGCACACGCCGGGCCGGCGCCGGATGGTCAGACGCGGCCCTCCACGCTTGCTGGAACCCTCGCAGGCGCGCGAGCGTGCCCCCGCCAGGCGCGCCTCCTCTCTGTCCCTCGCCCAATGTCCACACCGCGGCGCCGTGCCGCCCCCTCGCAGTGGCTCTCTGGCTCCCCGTGTGTCCCCACCGGCGCGGGGGAAAGAGCGCACGCCGGCCGGCCGGACCGCGGCTCGGAGCCCCACGCCCGGCCGCTGCTCGGCGGCCACAGTGACCAAGGATCCCTCTGCCCGGTGCTCGAACAGCACCCAGCGCTGGCAGATATACCCTAATTCTGAAGGCAGCCCCCCAGCACCCAAATAAAAAAGGCTCTTCCACGTCCAGCCCCGCGGCGCGCCCTCCGCGTCCGCCGCTCCCTTGTCCCGGCTCTTCCGGTCGCCCCCGCCGCCCTCTTTGCACCCCTCTCCATCCCGGCAGACTACTCACACTGGCCCAGTCCGCCGCCCGGCTCTTCCCCGGCGCGGTCGGGCCTTTCCCGGCTGCCCCTTTTTTTTTTTGCGCCCCGGCACAGCCGCGCCCGGCGGCATGCCCGCTTCCCGGTCCCTCGCGTCCAGGGCCATATCTCTCCTCGCGTGATTGTATTCCGCACGTGACACCCAGGTCACGCCCAGGGCGCCGGAGGCAGGCTCATCGCCTGCCTGCTGCCCTGCATCCCCCC